TACACATTTCATTCTATTTTGCGAAGAAGTAAAATATTTGTATTTGTATTTTTATGTTTATCTTTTATAAACTATGGGCTCTGTTAAAAGAAAAAAAACTTAGCTTTAACTCCTTGCATTTGATTGGCTGTAAGCAAATATGCCAAAGTCCTTAATATTTGTAATTGATAACAAGTTTTATGAAATAGGGCCCTGGGCTCATATGAAGACAAAACAAATGTCAATTCATTTCCATTTTTTTAAAGTTCGCATGAAATTTAGCTACTATTTAAATGACCCATAAGAAATTCAACGATATTTCTGGAAAACTCCATGGTTCTGGTTCACAGATTATATGATCCAAATTTTACAAACAACTTCAACCTTTTAGATGACAGGGACGCTGAATTATAAACAAAATTTAGGGCAAGAAATTGATGCCTGGTTAGTGTATGTTTTGCTTAACATGACTCATTATTAATTAATAAACTATTTTTGTTATAGTTGAAGTTGAAGCCTGATTGGAAGCGGAATTAAATTTCTATTATCGATGGCTGACAACTGTACAGCGAGCGATACACATGCAGTTTGTCGGCTATTTTCCAACTCTATGATGACAAAATTGTTTTTCTAATTTATCTATTTATTTTGTTTGCTTTCTGATACAGAAGCTAGTTAGTACTACTGTTAAAACCTTGAATTGAAATAAAAACAATGTAAACATTTCTGTCTAGACTGAAATGAAAAGTTAGTAAATAACACCACACTGCCACCTTTTACAAATACATGTTTATAGTTTACATAAATACAGAATAAATAGTTTTTTGTTTCAAATTGTTTCTCAATCAATTATTACTAAACAATGAATAACAATGTACATTTTTTGTTTTGTTTTCACAGTAGAATATAGGTAGTATCGATGTAGTAGTAAACATGTCATTACTCAGTCATTAGATAATAGTACTCTGTACACCTTTACATCAAAACATAATTCAAATCTCTTCATTATTTTCTCCTTCGTTGCGATCAACACCATCGTTCGTATTTCGGTCTTCTATTTGCCGTCTATTCTACATGTACAAATACTCTGCTGAAGAGCTATATGATAGTTTGTAATATAAGAGCCATATTTACAAGGAGTAAGTTCATTTATTCTATTCTCTTCACATGTATAAAATATCAATCAACTGAGCTACGCATACCGCCGTCGGTATTCTACAAAATATCTACATCCTCTGCCCCAGCATTAGATTCCAATCATGTCTGAACGATAAGCAGTCCTCGAGAAACAAATCCCTCGTTATACATGACCAAAAAAAAAACATCTTCTTTTATTTGACAGCCAGATAAATTTCATTTAAAGATATATTTACATGAAAAATATTGTAAGCAATTTTGGATCTGACCTAGATGTATGGTTTTTTCTTCACTCCTAACTACTTTTATTGACTGTTATTTCATCATGATCTTCATGTGAAACAAAAATTAAAAGTAGTGGTCCATAAAATGGGTGGAATAAAATCACAAATATTTTGAAATGGCTCTATTGTTTTCTTTTGTTGAAAAAATAATCCTGGTTTGATTTTTCAAAATATTATAAAATATGTTTCTAAACAATACCAAACCCTTCATCTCATCAAATAATAACATTTTCATTGCAATATTGCATTGATCACTGAATATGGACAGATTAAAACTTTTACAGTCACATGACTAGAAGTAAAATTGATCAGGTGATCAACTCTCATCCCTCCATGTAACAGCAAATCTTGTCGACTGACTGGGGGTTTTTTTTTTTTTTTGATTATTTTTTCCTTCAAAAAAATAAAATCCCTCTCACATTATTAATTGCTTCCTGACTACTTTCCTTATTTCTAATTTGGGGGAGGGGGGGGGGGGGGTCAAGAAAAAAAGTTGCTAAAAAATCAGACATAGAAATGGGTCATTGTATTATTAGATTTCAACTTTTTACCGTGTGTTTCATTTGCGCTTGGAGAGAAGGTTTTGTAAATGTTAAACATCAATAAGTGAAAGACAAGACTATTATTGTACAGTATCATCTGTAAACTTGTACAGATCTTTCATGGTTAGAACTATAAATCAATATAAAAACAAGCATTCTGTTTACCCTATGATCTTTACGTGCTGATTCTATCAATAAATGAATATCACCATTGACTTATTGAATAGCTTTTAAAGATCTGCAAAAGACTTTCCTGACGCAAGACAGCCCTCCTCAACTTTCCCGCACATCCCAAGAGGTCAACAAACATTAAAAAAACATAACTATAAAATCACTAGACATCTTGCTTTTAAAGTTTGAAATTAAACGGTCACGGCAAAAATGAGGAAATGGGTTCGGACTGGCTACTACTTACTTGGAAAAGTCAATGTCTAAAGTCACACTGTTTGCCATGCATCGTACAAGTGCAATGCATATTGCATGTGTATTGCTACCATGCTAATTGATTGTCTATGTATACACAAATATCACTACAAAATTATAGCCTATTTACCTGTGTATTACCAATGTACACAAGCATTTCTTCTTTTATTTACATATTATTATGCTCTGGGCAGTAAATAGTACACATCTCTAAAGTATACAAGGAATGTTCCCTCATGACAAGAGAGAGAAATTGCCAGGAAAACATTCTAGATATGAATTTCGACAGCAACTGTCAGATTGCTATACCGTACAACCTTCATGTCGCGGACCTCTATGCGAAAAGTGGTGAAAGAGAGATAGCAGGATTAAATACAGGATTAAATAGTTTCCATAATAAGTACAATTCTTCAGAAAATTTCGATTCACATCAACTTCAGAACCTACAAGTACAAGTCCCACACTATAAACTTTCTGTACCCATCTGTTAAGTAAGATACACTTTGAAAAAAACAATTCCGGAATGAAATACAAGCAACAACTTTCATATAAAAACAGTTCCAAACTAGCCTTACTATGTACTACATCTACAGCTTTAAAAGCATAACGCCAGTACAGTAAAAAGAACTTAATAAGTCGCTGAAACTCATTTACATGACATCGTTTTTTTTTTTCTCCAGAAGATTTCTAGCCGAGTTACAGGACATTATCATAACACACACTGCAGACCAAGCAAATATGCCGTATTGATACGCAAACAACATAAAGACAACATTCTTTAAGCTATCAACTCATTCATCTATCACACAGTCATGTGATTGATCACCTGACACATCACATGGGCCTGCTTACATTAGTCCCAGTTCTCGCGGTCCGTTCACACATAACACCATTTTCTCCTGCCGTGAGATACCTCAAAGCGACAGTTTCTATACAATAGTCCTAGGAAACAGTATCAGTTGAAACATGCTTTCTACCTTGCTCAGAGCTTACTTTATTTTTCAGCTCAGATAATTTTCTTCTTCTTCTTCTTCTCTCACTCGAAACTGGCTGCCATCAAATTCAAACCTCTTAAAACCACACTCTTTAACGTCTGTCGCGTCGACAGGACTTTTTTCCTTCAGATTAAAACTTCTGAGTGACCTAAATGCGTTTAAAGTGCGGATATTATGACACCTGTGTGATAACGATTATGACTACTATGGTTATCAGTACAGCGCAGCATATCAGAATCATGATCTTTTTCTGTTTAGCATCAACATGAAACCAATCATGATGGAGGAGAGGAAAGAAAGATGATGCGAGGAGAGAAGTTTGGAGAAATATAATGGAGAAAAATGGGAGAAATTGTGAAATGATATTAGTGATTATGAAAACAAAATGGATGTTTAATACACAAAAAATAGAAAGCGCTAACTTTTGTCAATGAAAAATTAATGTTATTAAGCAAAGACATGATGATATTACACTATCATTCAATTCTTTAAAAAAAAAAACATATTATGAGTGAGAATACATTTTGGCAGTTTTCCTTCTGAAACCAATAAATGAAAATAAACAGGTATGTAATGATGAATGATATAAATAACACAGTTTAGTTGCTAGAAATAACCATTAGTATGTTGTACATTGGAGCATCCTCACATGAAATAAAAAAAATAAAAAAATAAATAAAACATCTCAAATTCAGGAAAGAAACGTATCATCTGTTCAGAGCCGGAAGGGCTTTAACTCTCTGTTAAAGTATACGAGTTAACGCCCTTCTGGTTCCAAACAGAAACATACAATACTATTAGAGTATCTACTGTAAGAGCAATCACATTTTTTGCCTAACTTTGTTCTTGTGCGTTTGGAATGAAAATCTTAATCTAGGCATTATTGAATGAGAGATTTAATTCGTTAGTAACACAATGCTCCTACTTGAACTTCAACCAGTGTATCATGCCCAGTAGTTAAAACCTCCTCATGCAACCAATTTCAAGAACTTCAAGATTCATGTACCCAGTCAACCTATTTAATGAGCTATTTAATGGATGTTAGTAAGAACAGAAACATAGTGCATTCAAAGGCGGTATTAATGAGTCTTAGAAATAGTTAGTCCTATACAACTCAGCAAAAAATGGCAGAATCTAAGAAAAGGGTAAATTCATCCCAGCCCAAAAAAGGTTTGAAATGAAATCTGACAAGTCTCATGAAATGATAGGAAAGTATGCACTGCTTCTTTTTTAATACAATGTATATATGTACCTGCAACACCTTGATAAAGAAAGGCACGTAACAGTGTACACATGAAAGCATTTTTATTTTGTGTGTGTTTTGTTCTCTCATGGTTTAACAAAACTCAAAAATGCTTTTGAACATATAAGAATGGATGCAGAACTTACCCGCCATTAATACTTTGCTGTAGTATTTGACTGACAATATAATTTTGTTTTCTTTGGTTATTTTCTTCTCAAGGTTAGTCATAGTTAAAAAAAACTCAAGCTTGCTTTTGAAACTGAGAGTATGGAGACTAAACTTACCCGTCTTGCTTCGCATTGGTGCGTGTGTGTGCATGTGTGTTTTTTTTTCTTATGGTTACCAAAAAAACACACCCCAAACTTGTTAGAACAACGAGTAAGGAGATTGAACTTACCCGTCTTGCTTTGCTTTGGTACTTGACTGCCTTTTTTGTGTCCATTTTGGCCGTCTCCACATAGTCAACAGACTGCTCTACATTGTATTCGATCCTATCAATCATTTCACCCTGTTAAGACACAGAGAGAACGAGAGAGAGAGAGTGAGAGAGAGAGAGAGAGAGGGAGAGAGAGAGAAAGAGAGAGGGAGAGAGAGAGAGAGAGAGGGAGAAAGAGAGAGAGAGACGGAAGGTAAGACAATCATAATTAAAGATCAAATGAAACGTCGATTCAAGCTTTTTTTGATAGTAATTGTTGACAACTTTGAATATACATTATTATATTCCACATACAAAGAATCTTGCGCTATGATTGGTCAAAAGTAAATCATAGGATAAAGTTAGTTCGCCCATCATTTATGAGAGAAGAAAAGTTTGTTGCAGTAGTACTATCTACACAGTGCAACGCACTTTCGCTGAAGATAGAATACTATCTACACAGTGCAATGCACTTTCTTGTATACGCTGCGTATAAGTATGTACGTATGTACATTAATGTAAGTACTGCATGCACTGTACGTATAGTACAACGTTTGCTCGGTGCTAATTGATGATTTGTTGCTCTAAAATGACGGAAGAAGTGAAATGTTTCCAATGTGGAATATAAAGCAAATAATCACCTTTTGGTTTCAGGTGATGGCAAACTATCACTTCCTCTGCAATCTAAAAGTATACGCTATCTTTCCTTAGCTTCGGAAAGATAGCTACATCCAGATCGCCTCGAAAATGATAGTTTGTCCCATCACCTTCACCAAAGGTAATTATTTGCTTACTGCACGCCTTCCCTTCTTACTCGGCTTCCGACCTATTTTGCCATGTCCAAAAACATGTCATGGAATTGTCTTTGAAACTAGTCTAAAGAGGAACCTGTATATCAAGACCAACTCTCCACAAATAATGTAAGCATTTTTCCCTTTTATGGTCTTTATATACAGGTTTGACTATACCTGTTCCTTTTAGCGGACTTGAGACCACCATAACCATTAAATGTCAAAAACTGTCAGACTGTTACCCAATTCAAAACTTGTCTTAAGACACATTTATTAAAAATTGCTTATGATAATTAACTTACTCTGTTCACATCGATGTATATTTCATATGTATTGTAATGTGTAGGTTTATTTGCATTTGTTTTGTTTGATATGTAGTTGTTTATCATTGTATTTTGTTTGTTATAGCGCTTAGAGACTTTGGTGGTAAGCATTTTATAAGCACCATTTTTTATCATTATTTATTAAAATGTCCATGAACATGCGTACCATCTATATTAATATTGTTGCAGTTCTGTGGTCTTTATAGACAGGTTTTAATGACCCCCTCCCCTCCTTACCTGACTTTCCACCAACATAGCCATGTCCATGAACATGTCATGGAGTTCTCTGATGCTACTTTCTAACTTGATGATATCATTGTGTCGTGCTTCAATGTCCCTCAGCGTCTGTTTTGCTTGTTGTGTATCCATGATGATCTGCAGACAGGTAGGTAGGGAAAAAAAAAAGACGCATCAGTGAAAATACATGTAAACAAATAATACTTAAATGATAATATCTCTGGAGTTCTGTCAATAGGGAGTTTTCGCAAGCTCAATGCGGACGGAGAATCTGCGGTTCGGGTGCAAAATTGAGGAGCTACTATAGTAACAGCAAAGTGACCACTTATGTACTGAAATCCAGAACGGTTTTTGGCCAAATCTATGGGCGTTCTCAATTGTCAATCAGTGAGCTTGTACCAAAGATGATATGGGAATTTCATTGTTTTATTACATGCGATGATCACATCGGGGGACAGAAAAGAAGGATGAGGAATTTCTAACCCGGGGCCTCCCGGTTACGAAACCACTGCTCTACCACTGAGCCACCGTGCCTCCTCTGAACTGTGCTAGATCATAGTACACTGTGGCTTATGCCCTTCTGGTTCTTGTAGGGCAACACACTTACCCCTGATGTGAAGATGGCAGGATTCCCACTTTCCAGCATGTCTTCAAGCTCGGCATCTGTTGTGGATTTACCAGCTGAAAATATACAAACATTAAAGAACTCCTTGAAAACGCATGGTACTTTAGAATTTTTGAAAGGTCTAAAAGATAAATCAGCATTACCGGTACCTTCTCAAATCTGCACCCAGTAATTGATCTTCCACTGTGACTTAGTTTAAGACTCATCAAAGAGTAAATATGTGAATTAAAATGTTAAAGTGCCCATAAACTTGCCAATTTGTACATGAAAATAATGATTATACATACATGTAACGATTTCCATTTTCTTCGTCCTGAAATGTTCTTAAGGAATAAGGATAACATACTTTGGAAACATAGAACACCTGTGTCTTTATCTTTCTTTAATTGCATAGAGATGCTACAGCAGTGACATGTGCTACAAAAGCACTGTTTGTAAAAAAAATTATAATTATGAACATAATTAGGAGGGAGCTTAAACATAATTTCTTTACAAGTAAATTCAATACCATGTAAACAATTTTCAGTTTAAAAGTGCTTAATAAAAGGAACCAATCACCCAAATTGTTTATTGTTTCATAACATGTATCAGCTTTAAATATTTCTTCTACCGGTACTCTGATCTCTACTTTACAACATACACAATTTCTTTTCATTTGCCAATTTTTTGAAACTTTCCCCGACCTCTATCTGTCATTATTCTAACTTTCATCCAGTTTAACTTTAGGCCCCTACAAATGCCAATAGCCTCAAAGACCCTATTTTGACCCATGGATTAAAGGGGGCAAATGCCAATAGCCCTAAAGCCCCTAATTTGACCCATGGATTAAAGGGGGCACTCACTGATTTCTAGTTGTCTCTGGATACGGCCCTTGCACCTCTCTCTGTAGTCTGTTTGTGTGCTGTTGTAGTCCGTCATCACCTCCACAAATTTACGTGATAATGTTGAGTGCTGCAAGGTATAGTTAGGAAGAGAAAAAGTAAACATTTTAATAAGTAGATTGAATAACCAGCTGAGGTTTACAAGTCAGCTACACAACATTGTCTGCTACGAGCCAGAAAAGCGATAACTCACATACTTTATACACATGGACTTGAGTTCACGCTTTTCCAGCTCTTAAAGGGCAATCCAAGGTATGGAAGTAGACAAATAAGAGAAACAGAATGGCGAAAGTTTGATGTATATCAGGCCAATATTAAGGGAGTTATGAATGTTTGAAATGTGAGATCACTAAATCCATGCGAATCTCAAAATTGGCAATTTGGTCAGTGGATTGTGATTTCCTCATGGGACAACTCTCCCATTTGTTGTGTACAAAAATATCATTAATTTCTGTTTTTCCAAGTGCCTTTTCTCACTTGGGGCACTACTCAAAATATATTATTATTGATAGCATCATTATCCATGTAGGTCCTCTAAAAAGAAAAAAACCTCCTGAATCATACATTTGAAATAAAAAGTGATGCTTTAATAATTTTGTATGTTGAAAGAAATGGGAAAGTAGGCAAGCACTTCGTGACATTGTCACGTACGACAAACATCTGTTTATCCGTTCATTTAATCCAAAACAATTGACATAATTGATATGATGAATGATTCATGGTAGTAACAACAAAAGGACCATAATACAGAGTTCATATCAAGAGAAATTATTTTATCTTTTACATGATGCTAATGGATGAAATGCGTTGAATGAAAATGTAATATGTTGCACATAATTGCCGGACTATGGAAGAAGGAACTACCCGCCATTTCATACACATCTACAATGTATATATACAGTTGGAAGTTTGCTAAATGAATGATGTCCTTTTACATTGTCAGCGACGGACTACATAGGAAAAGTAGGATTCCAAAAGGAGCTGAATCCTTTTTTGTAACTTCAGAAGAAAAAAAATTGTTTACCAGATGTTGTACAGGCGTCTATGGAAAATTGATATTGGAAGGTGCATTTTTTCATAACTGCTCCCAAAATTTAGGTAAATAATTTTGTTGAAAGACGGTAGGCCTACTTAGGTAGTTCTGATATCAATAACTCAATTTTCATCAAAAGTGGATTTAGCTCCTTTTGGAATTAAGCTCTTCATAAACAACTGTACACAACTACATGTACATATATTGAGTAATATTACTAGCCATGCTTCTGTTGCAGAAGACCTTTAAAAAGATACCCGAGTTATGCATGCATTACACGTTGCAACACAGAAATTTGAAATTCGATGAAGATCTTTAAATGGCAATGCAAAGCCCTGTCAATAATCATCAATCATTCTTCTGAAAGCATTTCATATAAGGGTACGCGGTATCTGGGTTGTTGCATACAAATGCATGAAAAGGAAGAGAATCACAGATTTTCATAGGAGTTTCTCGTCCTGCTATCTTCCTTCTTTAATCTCTTCCATACCAATAAGTTTTTGACCAATTGTCATGTACATAAACTTCAAGACTTGAATATGGATCATTAATTATCTATTTCATAGGTAAAATGGCCTCAATAAGATGTATTACAAGATTGTAAACTTTACAATGGTGATACTTTTTTCTTTTTAGGGATGAAAAGCTAGTCATTCTGTGTAAAAAAAATAGTGTTCAACAGTAAAAACAGTTAAATAATTGATTTCTTGGGTGGGATTCACCTGTTCATCTAAGTGTGAACACATACCACACAAAAATGATACCAAATGATTTGGGATAAAACACTCTTTCATATTAAAGATGTATAATAATTTACTGTTCATAGATGATTTTTTAAATGATTAGCAATTTTCTAGGTGTAAACTTCTTTTTGACTCGCACTGTACATGGATGTTCACCCCTTTAAGAGGTGACCCAGCATTAGTTATTAAAGTGACGCTTGCTATAGACTTGATTTCACTGGGGTTATAGAATGAGGGTTAGGGTTGGGTTTAGGGTTAGCTTTAGGTTTAGGAAATTCTTGGTTGGTTAGGAAATTGCCTGTAGAGCAACTGTCACTGCAGCATGTGTCATAGTCCCCATTTAGTTCCCTCACCCCACTTTTTTTCCCCCACTCTCTTGCCCTGTACCGGTATTCTTTTTTTTAAAATACATACACTACTCAGCGGTCCCCTTCCTCTCTTCTATTAATTATCATCTTTATTTTTCTTCAACTGAGACTTCACTCACATGCTATAATCACAATAGGTACTGCCAAAGGCAGTAAAGTTTCTACCATACTGCCATAATCCTTTGGTGGTCTGTCATCACTGCTTTGTAGGGTTGTGCATCAATATATGAAAACACAGCCGACAATAATGTTTTTTTTTTTAAATCTGGAATTAATAGCGCTAATATGAAATACTATCTACAAGCCATTTACAGATATTATTATCACCCAAATTATTATTCACGCAAAGTGTGCACCATCTCCACTCCTGGGGGGGGGGGGGGTATTCCTACTATATAGTCACCGTGAGAGCATATGTCAATTACTTTCAAAAAGGGCTTTTATCAACCTACCAGGTTCACTTTATTCTCCTGGATATGAAGTGGCAATTGTACATAAAATGCCTTCACAAAAGTAAAGGCATTACTGCTGTTTCGGGAATCGAACCCACGCATTTCCAGTCAAGTGCTCAAACCACAACACCTCTAATACGGCAATCGGGCAAACAACAAAAACCCGGCAGTCGGGACAGGGGTAAAGTCAAACAAATAGTCTCAAAAAATTTCATCAAGCTGGGTCTGCATAGTTGACCAATCCTACATTTGAGAATACAAAGCAATCAGTAATCATCGCCCAAAGGTTATCACAACAGACAGGCAGAAAAGACCTCAATATCTTGTCCGATGGGGGGGGGGGGAGGGGGGAGGTGGTTGTTCCATCGTTGCACGTGTGATACTTCGCTATCTTGTGTGGCCAGTTTTTCAATATATACCCTCCTCTTTGATACATGCTTCAGATATTTTGTAATCTATTCCTAATCCCAATTTGTCTTATAATGACAATTTTCATTTCTGCCCTGTCATTTGTATCTTACCTGTGTCTTTCTTATCCTCACATCGGCTGAGTTCATCTTGGCACTCTCCTCCTGCTCGATGCTCTGCTCCATCACTGCAAAATAATTGAAAATAAGAATTGAAAATATATCATCATCGACACTATATATATAGCCTTGTTCCCATTATAACCATTACATTTAGCATTGGTATTAGTTGTGGAATTCTCTTGTTTGAACACAAAATAGGCCTGTCCTCATCAGCTTGAGATTGCCAAATAGCCCACTATTTCTGATTCCTGGATATTAGCCCAATCATGAAATAGCAGGCTATTTGGCAGGTGAAGGCGCAAATAGCGGGCTACTTGCTCGGGAAATCATCCCAAGATATCTTGAGCTAGTTTGCGAAATATCCTGCTATTTGTCTGGTGCGTCTTCACCAGCCAGAAGACTTGCACTACATGTATGCGCAAACGCCTAGCAAAATATCTCAAGCAAATTTCTAGAGCTCGAGTTCGAGCTGATAAAGACACGATTTGTAACTTCAGGCTTATTTTCCAAATCAGAAATAGCGGGCTATTTGGCAATCTCAAGCTTATGAAGACATACCTATTGCTACTGACTATAGTTTAAAATAGTATTTCAGCACATGATACTGACGGTAGAATTATGCACAGACAGGTATCTTTGGGACTAACAAAGTGGCTTTTTTCAGTTGAATTAAAGAAACCATTTTGGAGTAATGTAATATCAATTTTTAAAATGTTCATTCAATAATCATCATATTTTGTTTCAAAAAAGTAGGAATAAAGGAAAAATAATATGTCACTGTCTCAAATTCAGAAAGCAGAGCTGATTAAAACTGCCTTATTGCCTTTTCAACACTGTTGATCTTCCATTCCACCTTAAGTGTAGAAAGAGCAAAGCCTACCAGTAAAAGCGATTGATTTTTCTTCAGATAAAGTCTCATCTATGAAACAGGCTAAATCATCTCTATACCATAACTATATTAATAATGCAGTGAAACCTGTCTATAAATACCACAGAAGGGAGACAAGAAAAGTGGTCTTTACAGGCAGGTGGTCTAAATGTAAAGGTTCCTTTAGTACATGTTTCAATGAGAAACTATTTTCACGGAAAACAAAAAATATTGTCTTTGTAGACAGGTGGTCTTTCTATACAGGTAGTCCCTAAAGCAGGTTTGACTGTATTAATATAAATCAATAATGCCACATATCCAAAAACCTTTGATCAAAGCATAACAATATCTAGTACACAAAGACAAATGATAAATTCAACAAATAACCCCAGCTTATTAATACTTCAATAGGTTATAGATATTTTCATAATTTGATCCCCATTCTACCTAACCAAACCTGCTTTAAATACAGCAACTGATTATTATTCAGAAACCAGTAACAACAATTTTGATAAAACGATCTTGGATCAATAATTTAATCTTCTATTCTACCTTTAAGGTAACAACAGAAAAAGACCAACCCTGCTTTCAATATAGCGACTGACTATTATTCAGAACCCAGTACCAACTAGGTATTTGGATAAAATGAACTTCAACTAATAATTTGATTTTCTATTCTACCTTTAAGGTAACAAAAAAAAAAGACCAACCCCGCTTTCAATATAGCGACTGCTTATTATTCAGAACCCAGTAATAACTATTATTATAAAATGATCTTAGACTATTAAATACTTTGATCTTTTTTTCTACCTTTAAGGTAACAAAAAAACAAGACCAACCCTGCTTTCAATATAGCGCCTGATTATTAATCATAACCCAGAAACAACTATTTTGATAAAATGATCTTCTATTCTACCTTTAAGGTAACAACAAAAAAGACCAACCAACCCTGCTTTCAATATAGCGACTGATCATTACTCAGAGCCCTGTGACTCAGCCCCTGTGGCTTGAACTCAAATCTATTCCCAGTCTCTCTGGGACTTACATGATTATTTCCATAAATGTTGAGGCGATCGAGTGCCCCCCGCACGTATACTCTCCCGTATGCGCATGATACACAAATTATGCTCCCCGCTCGGAGCTCAGCGGGTATTGAAAGCTTCCCGATGCAGCAGGCAGAGAGCGGCCCTATCGTTAAAGCAATTACCCCTTATGAATCAGATTTACGCCGAGTATGAATATTAAGTATGAATCGAGAATGAAGATCACAATAAACAGGCTTCTATTTTTAGAATCAATCCAATCAAACCATAGATGAGTTTTTCTCTCTGTCGCAACAATGATTGTGTCAAGCTACTCAGGTCTTATGGCAATAAATTTTTCCAAAAGGAAATTGATTTTTGTCCCATTAGTATTATGAAATAATATTCTTTATTAAAACCTTAGTGAATATCATACACATGAAAATAAACATCTAGTTCTGTCACTATCAATTGTTTGTTGATTTATACGTGTTGAGGAAAAATCCTTTACTTGTAGCCTAGAACAAACTTTAATATTACTATTATCATTATTATTATTACTACTTTCATGATTGCTACTATTATTATTAATATTATTATTATTATTTATTCATATTATTATTATTATTATTAGAATTATTATCAATATTATCAATAATGTTATTTATTTATTTATTTGATCAATCATGAAAAGCACATAACAATGGCAAGAAACAAATAAACATAGTAAGAATATCAAAGAATAATAGGAATTGGAGTTTCAAGTGAGTCAGTTATAGGATATTAGGAATAATTTTTATTTAGTATAATCAAGGTGATATTAAAATACATGCATCTCTTTCAGTCATCTTCACATTTTCACATATCCTTTAAGGGATTCAATTCTGAATATCATCTCTTTATGCTTTCAATGTCAACTATACCATTACATTATTTCAAGCATATTCTCTACAAGTATACATGATCAAATGCATGTATTTCTAACAATTTGATTGTCACGATGAAACATGAGCACAACAGAATTGATTTGTTGTTGTTGTTGTTTTAGTTTTTATTGGTGTGTATCATTCATTTATGAGTATTTACGCAAACAATCTGCTTAGCTTTCACACAAGTTTCTTTGATCTCCCTCTCTATTTTCAAAAAGGTCATTTTCTTTCAAGGGTCCATGTATTGGCATAATTAGATTTCTAAAAGTGAGTACCGTTTGATCTCTCACTGCCTTTTTGAGAAAGCGCTAATTAGCAATCTCTCTCTCTCTCTTCTAAAGATCTGGCCGGAAATAGTGCTAAATCATGGGCCAAAGTGACGCAGAAGCAATCTAGGAGTGTGGCTTTAATTTCACCGGTTCACTGAAGCATTGAATTTGGTTTCTCTGGACTCGGCTCTCATTAAGGCACGGTGATGTATGACAGTGAGGCTCATAGCTGTCGAGAGTTTTGATACTTGATACGGCGATAGAGAGATTGATAGGCGGACAGATTGTGGTATCGACGCGGAATGATAAGGGCTTCTTGGTGTGGAAATGCAAATGGAAAGATTAAAAGGACATATCATAAAAAAAAGATATTATTTAAAAAAAGATGGACGGATGGATTACATGCTTCAGACCAGTGTCTAATATGTTCCTTTTTAATGACAAATTTAAAATGTTTAGAAGAATCAGCATTGGTAATTTTGATACAAATTTTGAGGAGAGCCATTGGGAATATTTTTCTCCCCCCGAGTGGAAACGGTAAATGGGAAGTTATCAATTTTCTAATTGGGTAATCACCACTTGCCGGGGCATTTTTTTAAAATCTACTTGATCGCACCATGAGAGCAAGAGAGAGAGAGAGGGGGAGGGAAGGGGTAGGGGGAGGGATAGGGGAGGGATAGGGGAGGGTTGGGGAAGGAGGAAGGGGGCAGGAAGAAAGGCAAAGGGAGGGAGAGCAGAGAGGGAGAGGGGAAGGAGAGCGGAAGGGGAAGGAGAGCGGAAGAGGAGAGAGGAGAGAGAGGAGAGAGAGAGAGAGAGAGAGAGAGGGAGAGAGAGAGTTGAACAGATTGTGATGTATGTCCAAGGCCAATGTTCATGATATAGAGGCCTGAGTCATACACTGTACTGTACACTGTATATATCGGTCAGAAACCATTGCCCCAAAGCCCACCTGTATCATTCCAGGGTTAACATTAAAATTTGTATGGAAACTATGGATATGCCGTATGGGAGGGTTCAAATTCTTGAATGAAAGATTTCATGGTAGTAAGGCTTTATATAATAGGGGATACATGTAAATGAAATTAAATAAGAGAAATGATGTTGTGCAAGACAAAGAGCAATTATAACAGAGAGAGAGAGAGAGAGAGAGAGAGAGAGAGAGAGAGAAGAGAAGAAATATGAGACAGACAGAAAAGGTGAAGAGAATATGCCAATATAAAAATATATGTGATGGAAAAACTATTGCAAAAATTAATAGAAAGAGAAAGAGAGCTAGAGAAAGATACAAATGTACATGTAGAAAAGGGCAATGAGACACTGAGAGACAGAGAGAGAGAGAGAGAGAGAGAGAGAGAATAGGAAGGTCAGAAAATGGTATACATTGTAGATATAAATTAGGGCAAAAATAAGAAACAGAAAAAGAGACATGTACAGAGGGAAAAGAACATTATGTACACAAAAATATATCCTGTACCAATACACAGAGATTCACATCATGGCACTTTTGACATCAGAGTCCAAAATTCTGCATCACAGGCATTCAATAAACCCCTCTCACAAAATTTCATCCTTTTTGATTGGAATGCCATCTTTCTATTATCTATGAACTGTAGATTACTGCAATATCTTTTTTTATTTTGTCTTCTTCCCTCTTCCGCTGATGATATATCAAGGCCCAAAGTAGGACTTCATAACGATGCAACCCCTAGCTACGAGTCATGCATAGGGCATGCCTATGCCAGCTAAATTGGCTTGGCATAAAATTCCTTATCAAATTTGCAAAAGGCTGTATTTATAATGTATACGGATAGTCTACAGATGCACATCCCCCTTGTGCTGATTTCAATCATGGCTACCCCAATATGATTGCTTTCTCGAAAATCAGAGATGCGGTTGTCCTGTGAGTCCAAGGGAGAGTTGGAGATGCTCGACGCAGAGTGCATGTGCGCGCAATTTCTCCCGTTTTGGCCACGAATCAACCCTGTTTATTGATCCTTAAATGTGAGAGAAGCGGTATTGATTGGGTTTGCGAAATGATCGAGAGGGAGTTTTGAATTACAGTATGAAATCGGGGAGACTACTCGCGGAGGATAGGTCGTCGCTGGTTTTGACATTATGACGGAGATGGAGGCAACTGGGATGGTGTCACTGCAGTGGCATTGACTTAGAGATGATGAAGCGCCCATGTCGAGGCTACATGTGCATGTATGCAAGGGCACATGTAGAGGGAAGTTTCTCATCTTTTTAGAAAACGTTCGTTGGAAACCAGACGGGCTTTAACTCTGTGTAAAAATGATAAGAGTTAACACCCTTCTGGCTCCAAACAGATGAAACCATTTGTTTTTAAACCACCTGTACAGAAAGCCCACCCTGTCTATGTAGAACAAACTATATGCCTTGAAAAGAGTTTCTCATTTAAAACATGTTCGGAGGGAACCTGCACATAGTGACCACCTGTCTATAAAGATGGCTTTTATCGTCTTTGAGGACCATAATTCCACATTGATTGTTCATATAGTTTTGGAAGAGTCTTTCAAAATGTAGGGGGGAAAAAAAAGAAGTAAATAGTGCTTTGGAAAATACTGCATGCCCTTGGTATAAAAGCATTTTTAAACTGATAAACGATTTGGTAAGGTACATGAAGAGCTGGCATTGATTTTGTTGAGGCCACTGGAGTAAAAATAGATTTGTTTCATCTGTGCCGGTATAATTAAAATAGATTTATCCAATGTGTAATTAACTAAATATTAGTTGTGAATGAATGTTCTTTTATTAAATCTCAAAATGTGTTGATTAATTATGACTCAAGCACACTTACATGTACATGTACCTTTAGTCATCGCACAAAGTGCTATTTTGTTAGTGCTATTTTTTGTCAAGAAGAGGTAATGATGTGTATTCCCTTGTTTTGCTCATTATTCAAATACGTTAAGGGGCATGATTTTGATTTAAACATTTATTTATTTTTTTTATTTTATTTTTTTAACAACAGAATGTCTTATTTTAAGCCATGTTCTATCTAAACCTCATAATGATCAGCTACCGGTATATTATCTTAGGGACATTGCGCTTCAAACATCTTTTGTTAAAGCACTGTTCATACTACAGTATGTACTATATCTCGATATAACCAACTGAATTTTATTATCTGTAAACAATTATTTTACATGGTGAATAAAACAAACAAACAAACAAACAAGTACATGTAGGTATACTGATTTTGCATGTCATATTTCACATTTTGGGGGCTAATTCGAGCCGAATAGATTTGCATTCAGTGATTTTAGGTATTACAATTAATTCATTGACAGAATCATTTACTTTTTTTCAGGGCATTTTTAAAGGTTTGGGTAAAAAACTGCTACCCCAATAGCAAGGCAATTTCTATTATATTAATTTGTTTAATTAAAAAAAAAACTTAAATAATCCCCAATACTTGAATTGTCTTGAAAAGTAATAATGAATTCCTGAGCCTCGTAGCCATCTACTGGATCATAACTTCCCAGCCATCACCTTTAGCACAGGTTTTTTTTCTTCCAGCAAGTAAAATATCTTTAGATATAAATAGTACCTTTAAAACACTGTTCAAAATTGGTCAGCAAACTGTTAAGCATTGGACCTGCATACACACTGCAGTCCATTTCTATCCCACTGTACATGCATATCTCTGTATTCTTGTCATCATGAAATAACAAATATTGAATTCAGTATAGCACTGTTGCCCCTCATTATAACGTCCACAACATTTCAGACTGACTTTTTAGCATTTATTTTCAAAATGTATATAGCATCTTGAAAAAGACTTGTCATCCCAAGCTTAATATCCACAAACTCTTGAGCATTGAACCTGCACACATGTACATGTAAACCAAAGTAGAGTATTTCTATCCAATATCCCTGTATTCATTCCCTTTAGGCTTTACACCTCTCTGCACGCCGGTACCCTCCCGCCCGCCCCAAGACTTCCCACCCTGCTTTATTGGCAATGCAATACTTGTATTACCCAGCCAGCCGGCCACTACCGAGTTCACAGAGTTTTCAGGACACACACAAAGTCACACATAAATTTACATGAAGCTAGCTATAGCTTGCTTGCTAGCTAGCTCAGTCTACGACTTTGGGAAGTGCTATCACCATCAATGAAAGGGGCTTCTGAGAGGTTTGGAAAACCTCTTTTGTTTAATATTCCTTGTCAGGTTTAAAACTCAACCTTTCCTAGTAGGACTAGAAGTAATTTGCTTTCTAAAGCTAAGCTAGTGATAAGAATATAACAAATTAAATTGTGAAAGTTTGAAAAATCAATTATCACCCTCAATGAAAGGGGCTTCTCAGAGGTTTAGAAACCTCTTTTGCTTGACTTTCCTTGTCAGGTTTAAAACCCAACCTTTCCTAGGAATATAGAAGTAGGACTGCAAGCAATTTGCTTTCTAAAGCTACGCTAGTGATAAGAATATAACAAATTAAATTGTGAAAGTTTGATAAATCAATCCACTTGTGCTAACAAGTCTGATTTCAAATTCATGTATTTTCCTGAACAAATGAGAAATTCAGTAACTTGTAGAGAAATCAATCAAATCAATGTTTAAAATGATACGTTATTTTGTTTTTACACAAGAATTCAACTAATATTATTTATTTTCTTTTAACTGCTGATTTAGAATGC